GAAAACCATTCTGCGAATAATATGATAACTAACTATACGATGTTAATCAAGTACTTTCACTTAACTCAATTCTATTTAAGAACGAGACTTAGCGCTAAGTATGACTTCCGTAAGTCATAAATGTATAGGATTTTGAATTCAGATGGTTTAGCGCCACATGAAAACTTTGGAAAGGAACAGACTCTATGTAGTTATGCAGACAAAGTCACGTGCTACTAAAAAAACCCCAAAACGAAAGGATATTGACTTTAATTATAATGAAACCATTAGGTGCACAATAAATTTGCACGGCCAAAAATAAACCGAAAATAACTTTCTGATTCTAAATATAGATGTGAAGTTGAATAATGGTTGTTTCCTGTTAAACAAACTGACAACCATTTAATTAATTTGATTGTTGTTGTTATTGGTATAAAAATAGATTTACTTTAAAAGTATTTCGAGAGCTAAAATTCTTTATTATTTATTAACACTTCGTTGCATGTACAGAAATATAATAAAATTGACATAATAAAATAAATAGGAGGGCACCTAGGGGACTTGTCACTTTTGGAAAAAACAAATAAAATTTGAAATTCTTTTTGAGATAGGAAGGAGTTTTAGGATTGAACAGGATGGAATATAAATTAATGGACGCAATAAAGAGATGGAGAACGTGAGCATCACGTCGCTTAGGAATGGGTAACCAGCCTAGACACTTATGGAACGCAGTGATATTGTTTTACTATCTTAGACCGAATATAAAACGGATACAATAATTTTGGAGTCGATCCCGTTTACTAAGCAATTCCTCGTTTGATCGGAAGAGCAAGAATCGGCGTAGTCTAGTAATGATAGAAAATTACAAAGACGTCGAAGGAAACTGGAGGTACCGTACAGTTTGCGGCTAACTTCCTTATAAAACTCCACTGAGACATGCAATCGCTGGTTTTAAAGCACTGGCGGCGCCAATTACTTAGTGAACCAGTTAACAGTAAGAGAAGAAATATTAATAGATCTAAGCAACTTCATTTTCGTTGGTATCTAGTTTTTTCAGCGATTTTTAAACACATTCGAAATATATCTTTTGTTTATTACTAACTATTGGTTATATTTGACAGAATCATTTGGTTGTTGATATTCTATTTATCGGGAAAACCACTATAAAACCTTGGCACTCTTCTAACGCAGGTAAACATGCTAGCAAAATAACAGACTATATAAGGGGGCGTCCACGAATGACGTGAGGTGTTTAAGGGGGGGTCGAGTCAAATCTCATTTAATCTTACGTTGGAGAGATTTTCGACGAATATCACGCAATTTTTTTTCCTGATTGAAAAAAAAAATAGGAAAACGGTTGACCTTAAAGGCCATCTCTGCTACTTCCCGCTAACTCCATACCTAAACGCTCAACATTTCACTTATTTTGTTTTAGTCGTAAATAAAAGCACAAAGCATTTTTTTTTTCTTTTTACAATGACAATCCAACGCGATTACGTAAGAAACCCACATTTTGAAAAATCTCACTCGAGATTGGGGGATGGGGGAGGGGGTTGAATAAAATCTCACGACATCTCACCAGGGGGGGGAGAGTCACAGAAAATTTAAAAAACACCTCACGTAATTTATGGACGCCCCCTAAAATGAACGCCATATCGCGAGCATTTTCCAAAACCACTTTTCGTTTAAGTAGTTATTGAATTATGACCATTTAACCCTACATACGTCATGACATAAATTTAGCGAAATTAATTATTATTGTTCCGAGGACATTAATCAGTTTGAAAGTTGATAATTATTATCATTCTAATATCGCGCGAGTTCATTCAACGTTATACGTCATCAAAACTCGAATGATCACCAAAACATGTTTGTTTAGTGAATACAATAAGTATTTGTATTTAATGATTTCTAGTTAATGCTTTGTGGATGGAATAGTCCCATGGGGTTGGGGCGTACACATTTTTGTGTATATTATTATGATTTTTTAGGTTTATAGGAAAGAGGGAAGTTGACCTGGGGCCTTAGTCAAGATGCCTTAACAGCCCTGCGATTCTGTAACTCACTTTTCGAACTCACACAGCGGTTTTCGCATCGGCGGTCGCTCTCAAATCAGTCGTGAAGCAGTCATTTTATGATTTGGCATTCTGATAAACAATAAACTACAAGCTCCCACCTTTTCAGAATGCCAAATCATAAAATGACTGCTTCACGACTGATTTGAGAGCGACCGCCGATGCGAAAACCGCTGTGTGAGTTACAGAATCGCAGGGCTGTAGTGTATGTAGAAAGTCGAAAACTAAATTTGTATGGAAATGACAGTTCGTGTCGAAAAGTTTTCATACAAATTTAGTTTTCGACTTTCTACATATACTACTGTTAAGGCATCTTGACTAAGGCCCCTGTTGTGTCTTCCGCTCAAAGGTTTTTCGGGAATCGAACTCAAGGCATATAATATAAATCTCTAAAGTATCATCTGATGTGCATTTGTAGAGTTTGTAATGGAGAAGAAAATGTAAAGTCCCATAAAGAATTGTCAGAGTCGGAACTAAGAAAAATAGAAACTAATTATTGGTAAAACAGCTTTTCAATATGTTTCGTTTACTTATCGGCATCAATTTACATATAAATATCCATATCCAGTGAATATTTGCATTTTACATATAAATCAACAAACTGTAAATTTTTATTATTATTTAAATTGATAATTACTTCAAATCATCAAGACACAAGTCTTGTTACTACTCTTAAATTTGTACAATGTAATCAGCTTGTAATCATAAATGCCATATTACACTAGTATTTATAAAAAGGAAATAACATGCATTAAACATTACTCAGGTCTTAAAGGTCCAAACAAACGTAATTGAGTTACGAGTATTTTATTTTTACATTTTAAAATTATTTTTATAATACTCAATTTAAGTTGACAATACGGATGTAATATAATATTATTTAACTTTAAATAAAACACTTTGCAGTAAAGCTTTTTTCTTCCATTATTTAAATATGCTTGCCTGTTTAGCCCGGTTTTCAACATCCTGGTGGTGGTAAATAAAGTCCTCATACTATAACTCTGTCGTGTGTTTGATTAGTTTTACATTAATGAATTTTTCTTAGTGTGACTTATAAATTGCGTACGGTGAAAAAAATCGTAAGGATAGCATGTTCTTTTACCAGAACTCGGCAACATACATATGTACAGAAGGTCACTAAGGCTATTAAAGCAAAATTATCAATAAAAGAAACACTGATGTCTATCCAGAGCCGTATTGGGGGGATCACGGGTCTTCGTAAACATCACTCAATATTTAGTTGCTCTTGATTAGTTGAGAAGTGATTAATCGTTTAATAATTTTACCATTATGTGTTCTAATATTTCATAATTAGAACTTATTAAACTATTTATGATTACAATGTATTCAATTTTCCGCATCATCATATTTGCATTGATGATATTACGAGCAATGTTACATCATACAACCAATCTCAGGTAGACAAGTGACCCATTAAATTGTAAATGCGTTCCCGCGCGAACTATTCTCTCCTATTGGCTGACATCCCATTCCGTTCCCGGGCAGCCATATTTCTTCACACATTAGTAGCTTGAGATATTTAAACACTGAAAGAAAACTTTAAGGTATTTCACTGTCTGTAATAAAGAATTCATATATGTACAATTAAAACAATAAAAATATTTCGCTTTAAAATTTCTTTTACAAAAAACCAACAACCAAGACAGTTCAAAATATTTAAAAATTTTCACTATATACACAATTGAACACGCTTATACGTCATGACAATATTATAATCGAATTCTATCATCATCGTTTTCATATATCAAATTTAAGTTTAATCTAATTAGCATATTTAAATATATTTAGCTGACCTTCGTCATCGTTAAACGAGGCCTTTAATAAGTGATTAAAAAGCTTCTATTAAACCGAAATTTTATCAAATTATTACATCATATTATTTCAGTAGACGTCTATGAACACGTGGAAAAATACGTATAATCTATTGTTTGTTAGAGGATGTGATGCCCAAGCAGAAATGATTAACACATACATTTTTGTTTTTAATTTCGATTTTAAACATCAGCGACAAGCGAAACTTATGAATTCAGTGGTTCTTGTGAATTTTTCTAGCTGGAAAAAATATAGAATTTTATTATCATACTGCAATATCAACCTCATTAAAAAAACTGCCAAAACATAGCATAACTCATAGGCAGCAAGCCAATACCGGCGCGTGCGTCGCTCGCAAGATAACAGCGTGGTTACATCAGATGGCGATCGCCGCGGCGCGTGCCCAACCACCTATAAAACTACCGACTCCAATCCACACAACTCATTCACCAATTGCATGTGTTAGATGACAAGTCGATACTAGTTTGTGGCAATGATCTACGCTCTCATGCATTTAACTGAACTGATTACTATTAATCTTGATTACGAACAGTGGTGGCACAGTGATAATTGTTGTGACAGTCACTCTCCAATCTTCGAGCACCAACAAAGATAACTGTGATTGCATTGATTAAAGGTAAATTTTATTTATTTATTCTGTATCTAGGCATTAATAATTTATTGGACGATAGCAAACTATTTACTAACATTTTCTCATAGATTACTTTGCTGCAATATTATTTATTCTCGAAAGTAGAGTTCGTAGGGTATGCTTCTGACCTTGTTTATCTTACTTAAATTACGTCAGTACATGATAGCAAGAACGATAACATTTCTTAAATTTGCGATAGCAGAGTAAGAAAAAAGAATAGTAACAGTCACTTGCTCTCACTTCTTAATCATCTTTCATACAGGTAAAGTGATATCTTCCGTAAAACAGACGCGTCTTGAGAAGAATTATGTTTATATATTATTTCTGCTTTTATGTTTTACATTTAAGCATGCTTTATTTCATAGCATATTTTAATAATAATTCATTTTGTTACAGTACATCTTAGCACACGCAAAATAACGTCTATTTGCAAAAGTACTTAAAAGTTAAACAATAAAAAGATGACGACCGTACAAACTCCACCAGATGTGACCCTCACCAACCCTATACCAATTAATCAAGATTCAACCACCGATTTTGATATGATGGCCTTAACCATGGCGGCACTACGCTTCGTTAATCCATGGTCTGTGGAAGCAAAGCCTCAATGGTCAGAGAAAATTGAACCTGGGACACCGGAAGCCAAGGACCGAGTGATTACCCTGGTTGAAGTCTCCGCCCATGACACTCCACGAGACTGCTGGGTTGTTATATATGATCGTGTTTATGATATTTCAACATTCCTTGATGAGGTAATTCATTACTTGTTTTATATCAGTCTCAGCTTTAAGAACACCCAATTGTATTTCACTTAAAAATGAATTAATAGAGTAATACATATAAAATATTTCACTAATGTGAAACCGTAAAAAATGCGTTTAACTGAATAAAATGATTGTTTTCCTCATCTGATTTCACAACAATTTTCTCAAACAAAATTGTACTAACCAAGGCTAATTTTTACTTTACTTACAGCACCCAGGAGGCGCTGACATAATGCTGGAATACGCGGGACGTGATGCAAGTACTGCCTTCCGTAGTTCAGGGCATTCGAAAGCTGCTAATAAAGCCTTAGAGCGATTCTTGGTGGGTGAGCTGCCAATGCATGAGCGACTGTACCGTCGTCCTGGAGGAATGCGTCTGAGCGACATTCCTGAATAACTCAAAGTTTAAATAACCTGTCAGTAGTACCATTTCATCCAAATGTGTTTGCGCCATTATAAAAATAGATATTTATGTGTAATGGATCACATGGGTTTATAGCATGTAAATTCGCAATTAATTATTGTCTAAGCTCTATCAGCCAGTTGCTATGTTAGTATAATAACCTTAAGTTAAATTATTATTTTAAATGTAGGATGTTTAAGTTAACCTTTTCGATTATAGTGTCATTATTTTTGATAAGCGTTATAAGTATTAACTGGAAGACTATTTAGCACTAAATGTTGAATTTGATTGTTTTCAATAGATATTTCGCAACGCTTATAATCAGTGCATTTAATTATTTTACTTAAGTTCAATCCAGTATTAAAATAAGTATAGGTATTATTTAGCTTCATACAGTAGGTATAATAGCACAAGTTCCTAATGTTATTACTTAATATTATCAATAAAATTTTGTTTTATATTTTGAGTTTCCTTTGTATCATACACAACAAAATCCAACTATCTTTTGGAGAAAAGAAAAAAAAATATTTTTTTGCCTACTTTAAAATCAACTTCGAAAATTACTGAATGTTTGACAGAAAAAAAAATCAGTGGCGCTACAACCTCTTTAGGTCTTGGCCTCAGATTTCTGAATCTGTTTCATGATCACATTTTTAAATCTAATAGGCAAGTAGGTGATCAGTAGGTGATCAGGTGACTTTTTGGGTCTAAGACATGTCGGTTTCCTCACGATGTTTTTCTTCACCGTTCGAGCAAATGTTAAATGCGCACATAGAAAGAAAGTCCATTGGTGCACAGCCGGGGATCGAACCTACGACCTCAGGTATGAGAGTCGCACGCTGAAGCCACTAGGCCAACACTGCTCTAGAAAAAAACTAAATGTATATTAACTAGTCTTATTCTAGAACAGAGCATAGGTATATATTATTTTCAATTTAAAAAAAAATCAATACAACTGGTAGTGAGAAAATTAAAAACTAACAGATTATATTTATTAATTTTTTTCCTATTAGGAATTTTGCTCACAGTTGATATTAATTATAATAATATTTAAATATAAAATAAATACGAAAAAGCTTGTATATATTAGATTTATAAATGATTTGACTAGTCTTAAACTGGCTGTGTGTCTACGTTTAGCCTAAATTATTTTACTTCCGACGACCATACGACCCTAAGATACCCTCATTATAAACATCTGACGTATTTTGATAATAGTTCATTATACGTATAAACAAGCTGGTTTTAGAAGTAAATATTCAACGCTAGATCATATATTCACACTTAGACAAGTCATTGAAAAATACATGGAGTATAAAAAGACAGTGTATATAGCCTATGTGGACTACTCCAAAGCCTTTGACACAATCTTACATAACAAACTCTGGTTAGCTCTACGGGAACAAGGAATACAAAATAAATATGTTAACTTACTAGAAAAGATATACCAAAGAAGTAAAGCCACAGTCAAGTTGGAGAAGAAAGGCAACATGTTTCAACTGAAAAGGGGTGTTCGGCAGGGCGACCCCGTGTCGCCAATTTATTCACCGCACTTCTGGAATTCATCTTCAGAAAGCTGGATTGGTCACGGTTGGGAGTAAATATCAATGGCGAAAATTTAAGCCATCTGCGGTTCGCAGATGACATTGTTTTAATAACTGAAAAGCATGAAGACTTACAATACATGCTTCAATCCCTAGAAGACACAAGTAGAGAGTGTGGACTGGAAATGAACCCTGAAAAAACATGCATAATGACAAATGGCATAAAATACAGTATAACCGTCAACAGTAGAAATATAGAATATGTTGACCAGTATGTCTACCTTGGTCAAAATATATCATTTAAAAGCCATTATATAGAGGAGGTAGAGAGAAGAATTAAAAAAGCCTGGAGTTCATATTGGTCACACAAGCACATTTTCAAGTCTCAAATGTGTTTACCACTGAAGAAAAAAGTGATGGACTCTGTTGTGACACCTACACTACTGTACGGCTGCCAATCGTGGCCTATCACAGCTGAAATAATAAAGAAAATCCAAACATTTCAACGATCAGCCGAAAGGAGCATGTTAGGCTTGAATCTTAGAGACAGAATTCAATGTACAACAGTACGAAAGAAAACTAAAATAATAGATGCAGCTAAAATGGTGTGCCGCCTGAAATGGCGTTGGGCGGGGCACACAGCAAGAAAGTGCGACAACCGATGGAGCGAGAGAATGCTGCACTGGTACCCGCGCGACGCGCGCCGTCCACAGGGGCGCCCGCGCCGGCGCTGGGCGGATGACATCACCGCCGTCGCCGGGGTCACCTGGCCGCGCCTGGCCCACGACAGACACGAGTGGAAACGGATGGAGGAGGCCTATGTCCAACGGTGGACAAACCAAAACCTCACAAACAAATGATTATTCCTAAATGTTAAAGTGTATTTTACGTAATGTTAAAAGTTAATTTTTCAATTCAAAATCAATGAAAGTTCTAATCTATTATAGTTAAGTTTTGGAAATAAAGGCTATTATTTTGATAATAGTTCATTATACGTATAAACCTAACCGATTGCCATTTACTTATTGTTGTCCTTATTTGTAGGAATTTATTTGTTTTTACTTACCCTTAATAGCAGCTTAATACTGCTTACTTAGAGTTTAAGATCAGATATTAGAATAACTTGTAAATAAACTCATTACTAAATAAATTATAGAAAATATTTGTATATGGTTTATTTTCCAGTACTAAACCGTAGCATGCTAGAAAGCAGTAAAAAAAGCATACTAAAAATAAGAAGTATAAATAAAGTAAAAATCAAAAAAATAAGACGAAAAACAAAATTTATACATAGTCCCTGTAAGGAGAAGAGGGCGCATTACAAAAAGGTAGATGTAAGATATATAAAACAGCCATGGATAAAGAAATTTGAAAAAATCTGGAGGCCTTTACCCGTTTCGTTCAATGGTACTGATAAAGTTAGGATATCGAGTAACAAGAAAAAACAAATGTTTAAACAAATCTAAATATTACAACGTGGATGTCAACATTTGTAAAGATTGAATATAAACGAGCTTTATTATTATCATAATAACGTAGTTCAAACCGTATCTACAATCTATAGATATGTAAAACTACTTCTGACTTTTAAAGGTAAAGTGGCTTGGAATCTAACTAACAACATATTACAAAAATCTAGAAGCTATATATTGTTATTCTGATATTATCTCCGACAAGAGTGCAGTTTCCCGATTTCTACGAGTAGGACCGTACACTGTAACTTCCTATAGCGAAGGCGATAGCGCAGTTTTTGTATGCAAGTAGTGTCAAGTAGCGCCTATGACGCAACCTAGGGATCGCATTGTATACAATCTGATTATTAAGATCGGGATCGCTATTCTGCTTGCTGGTCCGGGCCCAAAATGCTTTCGCTATTATTTATTGCTATTATGCATGTCAAGAAAGGTCCAAACACTTTCATATTTATTTAAATAAAGAGAAATCGCGTTATTATATTGCTGTCAGCCCCTTCGGGTATTCCAATGAATTAAAAGCCAGAAAGTGCAGGGAATCAGTTGTATGTAAAATGTACATTAATAACATTTATTAATTACTTTATATTACGCAAGTCGCAATGGCCTACTATGCGTCTTGGCCTAATATTTCTGCATATGTTTAATAGATTAGGTATATAGAATCTAATCTATATTATAGATAAATAGTAGACAGCGAGGTTTTAAATAAAATATTGAATATAATTTAGCATTTAATAGAAGAAATTACAAATATCTTTCACTTTTAAATGGAATGCTTATTTAAACCTGTTTGTCGGATCTGAAAAAAAAATATAGTTTTAGATATTGGTCTTAGATTTTAGCCTTTACATTGAAGTTGTAATAGTCTATTCTCACAGTTTTTAACAGAGACTATAAAAACGAAGGGAGTGAGGTTAAATAGAAAATATGAGAAAAAAAAGATACATTTCAGCGACACAACGCTGTAAGATTTAAAGTTAAGTATATACAATTAATTACTTATATTTATATATAAAAAATCGTGATTTAGCACCAATATTAAATATACTTAAATAAAATTAAAGAATTCCTGAAATATTTATAGAAATTAAAATTATGAAGGTTAAGTCATTATTTTCATATTATATTATTCATGAGATCTCACGAACAATTTCGCCGTAATTTGTTAACTTAATTTAATAATATACAAATCATATTTTTTCATCCGACTTTTCACTATCACTGACAACAACCCGTCATAACTGCATACGTAACCTCACGTACTTGAACTGTGATAAGTTATCAAAACACTTTTCAGTTTTGACTATTTATTTAATGCTCCAAGATTGTTTGATAAAAAGGTTAAATAAAGAATTCAATTTGCAATAAGGATAGGAAACTTAAAGAGCCAGAGAGGTTCTAGTACATTCAAAACCTGTATACGCATATTCAATTATGAGGTTCGCAATTATAGGAAACATTTGTTATATAATTTTGTTTACCTAATAAGTAATTATTCATTATTAAAATATTTACAAACTGAACAATACTATTAAATCATCTTGTTTGACACGTGACGAAATAAAATTATTTAAAAAATAGAAGAGGCCGCGAGGTTTTAAAATAAATACACTATTCCGGACTAAAATGGATTAATTAACATTTTTCTCCGTGCTCACGGACAGGCGCGAACAGTAAGTACTTATATATAAAAAAAATACCTTTTTTTATGTTGAATATAACGTATAAAGTATATTCCAAATTCGATAAATGGTGATATAAGATTTCCGTGATTGTAACAAAACATAACAATTGGTAAGATTTTTTTTTATTTTCAGTTTACGGGTGACAAATTCACCTTCGAACAAAATTCAGGAACTACTTGCTGATAAATAATCCTGAAAATGTAAAAATAGGGCATTCCACAGATAATAAAAGTAATTACTCACAGATGCCTGTAAGACCTCGTATTGTAGTATTGTATATAGACGACTAGAGCAAGAATTAGGAGCACAGCCGTGACCTGAATTGTTACCTCTCGGGTCAACTCGCACTTGGCCACCTTTACCTCGTACGGGGTTACGGTTAGCTGAAATAATTGTATTGAAATTACATTCATGGAAGTGGTAGATGAATCAATTCAAATCACATGCCTCAACAAATTAAATATCATTTATCTGTTACAAATTGTACACATCTACTTGCAATTTGAATATGCCAGCTTTCATTTAAAAAAATATAATTTGTACATGTTAAGAAAAATTGCATGATGTCTTCTCAGAGCAGCCCCGGTGTCCGTAACTTCGAATAATAACGCAGGATCGTTAGTTAAACATTGTGGTTTTATTCAAGATTGCGATATTAGGGCTACGAATTACTATACTATATCGGAACAACAAAAAAAACACCCGTATTGTAAACTACAGAGGATCGGCGCAGGGCGCGTTCTTGAATATATATGTTTCTAAGTTACGATAATGTATACTCTTATACGAATAAAAAAATATCTTTGAATTTGCCGATTTTCAACCGCAGTCTTGATGGGTAACTTTATACTAAGCCTTGAGTATATGTATTAATAACATATAGGAATAAGCTTAAATGTTGTTTGTTAGAGGCAAAACGCATATGATTCCTGCCTAGGTTACTGAAGTAAGGTTTTAAGTACTTTATTAACTTAAGACGTGCTAGTTACTTGGTGACCCACCCTCCTAGAAGTAACTATGGAAAAAGAAATTTGGAGTTTGAGGGTGTTACAATTTATAATAAGTTACCATCAGTTATAAAAGGAGAACAAAGTTATGCCCGGTTTTAAAAGCTTCTAAAAACTCACACAATTAATAACAAATAAGTGATTAAAAATATAATATGTATATATATATTGACAAAAACAATAAACTAAAAATAAAATAGTGTTATGAAAAATAATAATATAATCAATATAAACTTGCTATAATCAAATTCGAACATCTGTGTTTTGCTTGGTTGACTGATCAAGTTTATTATGTCTACCCACATTTTTGTTGCTGTCTTGTTTTGTTATTTTATATACATATGTACCTACATCTGTGCGCTCTAATTTCTAATTTTTAATCTAAGTTTTAAATATTGTTCCTCAGTAAGTGAATTATGTATGCAATTCTTATGAGAAATAAAGTTATTCTAAAACCTAAACCTTATCCAGACAGAAACATTTTCGTTACTTTTTTGAAAAGAAATTTCTTGTTGTCGTTATTTTTTTGGAATTATAAAACATTATAACCCCCATTTGTCGATGGCTGCCCATGCGTCATACTCGTGAACGGGTGCTACTTGTGGTGACTGGTCGGACTTAAATTCGTGTAAGCGGTGATGTTAGTTATTTCGACTATTATTTGCGTGTTGTTTCCAGGAGAATTTAAGTGCGTGCTTCTATTTCACCACGCCTACTGCTGATAGAGGAAAAATCTTTTTTTGATTATTAATTAACTATTAATTACTTATGATGTCATGTGGAACATGGTGTAATGGTTGCAGCTCCTTACAAAGATTGTGTAAAACAAAAAACTGAGCGATTAAATAGAGTGGGGGAGAGTTTATTGCCAGTTCTTCTCTTCCGTTCTACTCCCTTGATTTGAGAACTGGCACGAAATGTAAAATTAGAAGCATTTAATATGTATTTTATATTACTATAAGACGTTGTGTACATTGTGTTACCTAAATGAATAAATGATTTTGATTTGATTCGATTTCAATTAATTACCACTAGGGGGGGGGGGGTGGGGGGGGGGTGGGTTGTTTTGGGGCTCCCTCCCCCCAAAAGTTCTTTTTGTGGGGTGGGGGGGGGGGGTGGGTTTTTGTTTTTTTTGGGTTTTTTTGGGGGGGGGGGGGGGGGGGGGGGTGGGGGGGGAGGGGGAGGGGGGGAATCTTGTTTTTGTTTTTTTTTTTTTGTTTTTTTTTTTTTTTTTTTTTTTTATTTTTTTTTTTAATTTTTTTTTTTTTTTTTTTTTTTTTTTTTTTTTTTTTTTTTTTTTTTTTTTTTTTTTTTTTTTTTTTTTTTTTTTCTTTTTTTTTTTTTTTTTTTTTTTTTTTTTTTTTTTTTTTTTTTTTTTTTGTTTTTTTTTGGGGGGGGGGGGGGCTTTTTTTTTTTTTTTTGGGTTGTTGTTCCCCCCCCCCCTCGCCTTTTTTTTTGGTGTTTTTTTTTTTTTTTGGGGGGGGGCTAAGACCCGCCACAAGTATTGCGCAAGCATGACGCAATTATTGTCTGATTAAACAAACTAAATTTGTCATATGTAAAAAGTGAAGTCCGTGGTACAAAGCACAAACTTACCAAATAATACTTCGGATCCAATCTATTCCTCCACGAAAACGAGGGCACTGTATATTCAACAAACTCTATTTTATGCTCCGGTCTGGGCACTAAACTGTGACGTATTAAACAACTATTGTGCGTATGCGCACCAAACGCCGCTCGAGGCAATAAACTCTCAATGAGATACTCAGTGGACTCCTTTGAAAGACAATCCCAACGTTCTTCGAAGAGATTTCTTCTGGATAAAGGTGCGTCTGACTCAGTACATACGCTATCTGATTCTCTGTATAGTGGGTAATGCTGAAAAATCACCCCAATTGAACACAAAACCAACGGAGATGAACAGTACAATGGTGCTGCAGCAATCACCAGCTTTAGGTGAATTACTGCACACATTTTTTTATGAATAGACCACATATGTCACCAGTTTAATGTATAATGAAATTTTACGTATAAAAAGAGAAAGTACATTTTAAAACCACTCGTCTTTTAATTCGAAAATGAAAATGTTATCATCATAACGTTTTACTTTTGAGACGTACTAATAATAGAACAGGGGTAAGCTTGCAGGAGGCTCATCTGATGTTAAGTGATACCGCCGCCCGGGATATTCACAATGCCAGAAGGCTCGCAAGTACGTCGCCGGCCTTTGAATTGGTTCGCATTATTCTTGAACAACCATCAGTCGATCCTGGTTGCACATAGTAATGGTGCGCGGTGAAAACTACCTTAAAAAACGCTTAGTTATGGAACATTGGACGGCGAGGAGATTCGGATAGAACTTCGTATTCTTCCTCGACGTCTGATGTAGGAAGATAGATATTAATGGCGCTTGAAAAGTAATAAAATCTTATAATATACATTCACTAAAAAGCAAAAAGAGGATAGTTCAAAAAAACCAGTGACGCTACAACTTTTTAGGTCTGGGCCTCAGATCTGTATCTGCTTCGTGATCATTTGCTGTTTCTAAAGTCAAGTAGGTTATCAGCCTTCTGTGCCTGTCACACTCCGTCAACTTTTTGTGTCTAAGCCTGGTTTCTTAATGAATTTCCTTCACAGTAAGAGCGATTTCTAAATGCGCAAAAGGTAAAATCTATTGGCGGACAGCTGGGATTCGAACCTACGATATCAGGAATGTAAGTCGCATGCTCAAGCCTCTAGGCCAACACTGCTTTAAAAATCACTCTTAAGGCAGTTTATATTTTGATACATCGAAATAAATTAACATATTTTAAGCACTTTTCTGTATTTCCGTATTAACAATTAACATTTAAATGCCATCATATATCGTACCATTGCAATTACGCATACTCCTTTTTTGGAGGTTTTCCTTTTAATTAAATGTTATTAAAATATCATAGATTTCATAATTTATTTGCTTTGTTATACACACTTAGGATATACGTAGATATGTTTTAGTATAAGGAAATAAGTAAAGTCTTATCATTCCACTCTCGGCTATTAAATTTTTTTTTCAAGTTTATTTTCGTGTTTGACATGTATAGTTCAGATTTCGATATAATCAGTTTTTGCCATCATAAATGTAGAGAAGATTTTCTTTATCTAATTCAAAGATTTTCCATATATTCGGTTGTTTACACAATATATTGTATTTGTGAAGGAAAGTCTATTTAACGGGAGCTTTTAATGTATGAATAATTATTTTCTATGTCCTAAGGATAAAGCTAAGGATAAATTTATTATTATTAATACGCATAAATAAGTTGACAGAGCAGTGTTGGCCTTGAGGCAGCGTGCGACTCTCATCCCTGAGGTCATAGGTTCGATCCCCGGCTGTGCACCAATGGACTTTCTTTCTACTTCCGCATTTAAAATTCGGTCGAAGGGTGAAGGAAAACATCGTGAGGAAACCGACACCATGCCCTAAAAGTCCCAAAAAGTCGACGGCGTGTGTCAGGCACTGGTGGCTGACCACCCACTTGCCTATTAGATTGAAAAATGATCATGAAACAGATTCAGAAATCTGAGGCCCAGACCTAAAGAGGTTGTAGCGCCACAGATTTATGATCTAGTCGACAAGTTGAAAATGGTACAAAATAGAGATACTGCTCTTAAAATTATGTGCGATAGCTCATTGGATCCGGAATGACGTCTAGAAAAATGTGCCAAAAGCGTGTATTAGTACAAAAAAATGCTAAGTTATAAATTAAGTGAAAAAATTTCGTTTTTTGCCAATATTTAATAAACTATTAATATTTAAGAAATTTCAAAACAAGATTCTGAAAGAGGAGGAAATTTCCAATAAAAAACTCCCGGATCCAATGAGCTATCGCACATAATTTTAAGAGCAGTATCTCTATTTTGTACCATTTTCAACTTGTCGACTAGACTATTAAATAAGTTGACTCACTTGCATCAATATTGGTCTGCTATACTTTGCTACCTTCGTTTTTCCTTTACATAATGTTGACCCGCTACTGCACTTGAGGGTATCTAAAAAATTTGTACACCTATAAAAATGACTCTAGCGAACTTTTTTTATTGCTTAGGAAAACAAATAATCTTGGTATTTAAAAATGTCGTGCAGCAGTGACATACGCACCTTGAATAATCTACCTACAGTCTACACCTTTAGAGCATTTAGCAAACAATCCTGTATAATCTGGAGATATTGATTCCCTAAGTATGACATATTTAACGCCCAAAATATTTAAGAATGTTTATAGTCCGGGATGTAAAGCTAAGGGGAACAGGAAGTAATAGTCGTTCGAGTCATTTTACACTGGCTGAAAATCATAATAATTATAGTTTTCCCTTAACAGCTCCGAACATCATCTGCGTCAGCGATAGCGATGGTGCTAAATTACAAGACAAAAATAGCAATCTAAGTTTTTTTTTTTATTTATGGTTATTTGTTTTTTTTTAATAATTAGTATAATATATATAAATATGTGGTGCTAATTATCTTAAATTAATTATGCCATTTGAATTCAATGTATAACATAATTTAAATGTTTAATTAAACGAGATTGACAAAAATACAGCTAACGATTTTCTTTATTATTTTAAAATTATAAAAATTTAGATGTATAAATGTCCAGAAGGTTCACAAATTTTCAATGACGTTCATGCACTTGACTGATGTATAACTCTGTCTTATGAATAAAGCTAATGTTTTTTTTTTAAATTTGATTGAAACAATAATTTAATACATTTTAGCTTGGTATGAAAATCATCAGAACAGATTTCTTTTTTCCAACAGCTTTTTCTTGCTGTCTCCTTTAGCTCCATCTCTAGTGCGACAACTGAACTGACAGATTTCCGAATAATAGACAACTGTTTCGAATAAAATTCCTAGAAAAATAGCTACACATTTGAATATTGATAGTCAGGGTAGACTATGAATTTTCAAATGTCTATAAATTAATTTGAAAAAGTAATAAGAATAATCTTTCAAAATACTTACAATGTTGAAACATACATAATATATAAAAAATAAAATGAGAAAACAAATAGGCTGTCTCAAAACCCATATAGGTTTGTTGCGCAACTCCATTATTTTAATTTAAACAATAATATTTATCATTATTCTTTCGCCTTGTATATGCATGTTTTTATTATTCATTAAAATAGTGATCACCTGCAATTTTCTCCAGCTCTGCAACTGCTCTCGAGCATAGACTACATCCATCACCCTCCATGGCCATAGAATTAATGAGAATGAAATGATTTCCTCTGATACTAATTAACCTGACTGGTGGAGCATTAAGCTCAACTTCAAACCTATTTGATAATTGTGGAGTTATCCTGGTAAGAAAATCTATAATTATATAATTTACACAAATAATTTGGTTTCTTTAATAATATAAAATTCAAAATGAAAAAAAGCATGTTAAACATATAATGCTAAAAACACTGAAATTTTATAATGTATATGTGATATATGTACTAAACTCTGAGACTACTAATAATATCAAATCTTACTTATAATGAAAGCCTATGTCATGATTTCCAGCTACCACATACAAAGCAGTGCCTTTGGGAATATCAAATAATTTTTTAAACCTTTCCACATATTCATTAAACTCCTTTTGAGAACTCCAGTTTCCCTCATCAAATATGTCACCTGAAAAAATTACTGGAAGTATATAGTTGAAACAAATTTTTTTTGTATAAAATAGTGTTGTGTCCTGGATTTTTAAATACAAAGGATTTCAATTGTCTCAATATGTGACTTCTATGTCAGATCAAACCTTAAGCTAATTAAAAACATGCAAACCAGGAAAACATGTTAGCTGCTAGTTTTTTATACTAATCCTGACCTGAAAGATAAAATTAGTAATATTTTTAACTTTACCTAAAATAAATACCAGTTCAGGATTATGTAAGGTCATAGCAGTTTGAAATGCGCGATGCATTTGCCACTCTCGCCGCTCTTTGTCTAACCAATGTCCGTTTTTTGAACCCAGGAGATGAATGTCTGCAAGAACCATGGCATAAACTGGCTTTTCGTTCTTCATAATATTTTTGTCTACGGTAGGCCATCTACACTACAAAAAAAATGTGCTTCAAACAACAATTAAAATTTGATAATATCTACTACCAATAAGTACTCATCATTACTTACTTGTAGTTGTGTAACGTAGTAAATTAAATATTCACAGTAAACATATATAAAAAATAAACCTACAAGAAACTGCGGAAATATTTTATTAAAACATAAGAACAACCTTCGTTTATAAATTGATCGCATCGTCGAAATCAACCATTTCTGATACACTTACGACTACATTTACTTCCTTTTGAAATGTATTTCAGACATTAAATTTATATTTTATTTAATGTATTTTTAAATTTAATTATTATATTTTAATTTATAATAATTAATACATTTCACCTTACAAAGGTTGGCACTTGGCGCCTTATTTAAATTTACCTACAGGATATTAATTATGAGGTTGAGATGTGTTTAATATAGATTATCACACTGTAACGGTGGTAAAATTTTTGTCAAAACTCAAAATCATACACAAAGCATTTACTAGACTAAGAAAATAAAGTTTCAGCGTATTTTCTTGGTTTCAATTTTATTTCTCTTTATAATTATTTCTCTAGACAATATTACTTCCAAGTCTTTCATTCTTTTTACAAAGAACTCTTATTGTTTTATTTCTTTAATAGGCTAAGATTTTAAAAATCATTGCAGATTATTTATTAGTGACTTAACAATTTGGTAATTTTAATATTGGCTTCAGAAATTCAAATTCCTAATAACAAGATCCCGCCGTAACCCATTCTAAGCAAGATAGCGCTGCACCAGTCCCTGTAAACACGTTTACAATCTTCAATTTAATTATCATTCTTAAATTATTCAAAATACGTGTATATAATATATAAATCATACTCAGTCTCCGATTAAACAGTAAGATAGTTCCAGGAAAATAAAATTCAAAAGCATAGGTCATCGTCTAATAATTAAACAATGAATTATTTTTTACCCGATATTTTAGTCTGTTTAAACTTTATCTAATTAAAATATAATAATTTAATTTTATCTAAGTTGAAACTATTATTTTGAATAATACTTTATTTTTTGTAAACTATATATTATGTCAAATAGCCAATTACATTATGACTGGAATAAATAGTCATTATCTGTTATTGTAACACATTACATGTATGTCAGAATCGTCGATCACAATTGTCAATTGTCATTAGGCACCAGTCATAAAAATGTGTAAAAAATAAAAACAATTTAAATTCTACCACTGTGGATCTCCCTTTTCTTTCTCTACTTCAAATCGCTCTTAATGGTCTCAAAGATTCAACTCCAGAGATGGCTTCCTTTCCTTCCTATACTTATACCTACTTTACTTCTAAAATATCAACAAAAGTTTTGAAACTGGTATTATACCGACATCTTACATCTCAAATAGTATTCCCATTCTCAAACCTGGCCTTCATTCAAATTCTTATCGTCCCATACTTTGTCATCTACTTTAGCTAAATAACGGAACACCTTCTTAAACGCTGGAATGGTTAATGGAAAGTAAAATATTCTCCCCTATCCCAATTGGGTCCGAAGGGTATGAGTCCACACACCTCATATACTGACAACTACATTCGCCTACCTTTACAAAAGGAGAGTACCTTTGGGTGTGTTTCTTGATATTGCTTCTCATATGAAGTTCCTACTTCCACCTCACAAACTGCTTAAGCTGAGTGTTTCTTCGAGGATGGTACATCTCATATGTAATCTGCTATTTAGCAGATCTATTTTGATAAACATCAAATACCTCTCTTCCCCCCAACTAGTCTGGAAAGGTCTCCCCCAAGGCTCAGTTCTACCCTCTCTCTATAGCATTTATACCCATGACCTCAACTGTCTTTACCAGTTTTGCAATATTTTACAATATGCTGATGATATTGTCCTTTTCACACTCAGGCAGTATAGGGGAAGTATCCTGTCTATCAATTCTCTTTGTATTATCTAGGCCAGTGGTTGTCTGACCATGGCTTGTCCTGTCAGTGGCAAATCTCAGCAGTGGTGTTTACAAGGAAGAATACTTCCCACTCTAGCATTTCATTTGAAATCAACAATCAACCTGAAGATAAAGCAAAATTTTTAGTTTTATTTAGACACCGGCTAACGGAATTGCCCATTCTGAACATATTATCAAAAAATGCGAAAAAGGTATTAACTACAAGAGCAGTACGGGAGTTTGGTGGGGCCTCACCCTATTCTTTAAAGTTATTGTATAACGCCTTATACTAGTCATATGATTACTGTATGTTTGTTCTGGATCCCTTTAACAATCAGCTCTAAAACTAAACAAATTCAATATAGGTGCCTTAAATCATTCTAGGTGCAATAAATCCTCCCCACATGCTTTGCAGGTTGAGTTGTTGATCCTCCTCTTCACATCCCCGGCAGTATTTATGTGACCGCTTTGTTACGATGTTACAGCTATATCCCACCCTCTTTGGCATCGATTATCCCAACTATCACATTCTCCTTTACCCGAAACTCCTCTTCCTATCTCTAGATAGTTATCTAAAGTTCACCACCTCCCTAACCCCTGATATCTTTTCCAATAAATCCCCTGTATTCTACTTCTTATAAAGCCCTGGTTACAAACCTCCCATCATCACAACCTTGGTCTATCAAAACCCCAATCCAACCTCAAATACAAAGCTATATTAATAAAAATTGGCCAAACATCTTCTTATTTACACTACCATCTAAGCTGTCTCCAGACGGCTGTGTTGGTGCTGCCTTTGGTTCCTCGGTATAGAATTATCCTGAAATTTAAATGTCCTCCCAATCTTCAGTTTCACAGGAAGGCCACTGCTCTATTGGAGCAATCCTGTTTGCACACTCCCCTACACAGACACTATTTTGACAGACTCTTTTAGTTGTTTAATGTCCATTAAAGAAAACCCATTTCGCAGCAAATCACGTTTTCCCATTATTCTAAAAATCAGAGACTCTGCTCTCTTGTATCAAAAGGAATGTCTATCATACTAGTTTGGATTCCTAGCCACTCAGGTATCCCTGAAACGAGACTGCTGATTCATTCCAAACAGCTGTTGAGTCAGGTTCTCTAGATCATTTTGAAAATTCAGCACAGGATCTTTGTACTCTTGCAAACATATCTGGACAGAACCTGGAAGACATTTTGGAATGACTCCAAATCGGTTAGGGGTAAGTTTTATGCTTCCATCCAACCAAACATACCAAGACAACCCTGTTTTGTTATTATCGGAATCAAATCGCTATTACATCCACAATCTCCGTCTTCGTCTTGGTCATCTTGCACCCCTGTTCATCAGCCAAGCTCGGATAAGGGATCACTCTATCTGTGAGTGTGGCTTGATGAAGGCACTGTATCTCACATTCTATTTAATTGTCCCAAATAACCTATCCTCTCTATGACGTTCTTCCCCGTAAAGTCCCCCGTCCTTTAAGTGTTAAATGTTTGTTAATGTTGTGTTTAGTCCATATTGTAGATTTTTGTAAATATATAGAAAGCAATAAAATTAAAGTGTAATATATATAAAAATTATTATAAATAGGAAAGTATTTAATAATGTTATTATTACTCACTCATATTTGTGTTGTCTTGCGTTAAACACCATTTTGTTTTTGTTAGGTGCATATTCAAAATTAACTTTTTTTTACATTTCCTCTCATTACTGCTGTGCCAGTTGCACAAAACCATTAAAAAAAAAAAAAAAATAAAAACAATTTACAAAATAAAACATTTTTTTTGTAATAACTTAAGTGGTCCTGACTTTGATTATTATGTAGAAATAATAATTTTATTTAAAATGTCTGTTCATTGGAATTCCGAGACCATGAAATGGGAATATAGGGAGCTGCATGCTACGGCTATGTCAGTGGACTATTCAGGGAATAATGTGCTTTTGGCTGGAAGACGATGGTTGGCTATTAAACAACTAAGCTTTGATGATGACACTGGGGACATAATAAAAAAGTACCCACGACAAAGTAAATATGATGCAGCTGGTGCAGAATGGTGCCAGACTTATCCCGGGCAAAAGTTGTGTGCTATAGCAGTAAGAAGTATTTAATAAAATTATATCTTCCTATAATTTATTTTATCAAAGTTTTATGAAGCTTGTAGTTTTTTTGTAGAGTAACCAGCGTGTAGATGTGTATGAATGGAGAGCGGGTAATGATTTAACATGCATATGTTCATTAAAAGGGCATACTCGGGTAGTAAGTGACACACACTTCCACAGACAAGACCACAATCTAATAGCTACTTGCTCAATTGATACATATACACATTTATGGGACTTACGGGATTCAAGAAAACCTGTATTATCTTTAAGTGCAGTTGGTAAGTTATTTGTAGTTTCAAAAAGCTCTGTTTAATGATTTAGAATCAGAACTATGAAAAAAGCTGAAATAAATAGTTTCACTGCTGACATGGTACTCAATAAAATGCATTTATTTTTCTTCAGCTGGAGCATCCCAAGTACAATGGAATAAAGTAGCATCACATATTGTAGCCACAGCTCATGATGGAGACATAAAAATATGGGATTATCGTAAAAACTCTGCACCCTTACTTTACATCTCCGCACATTTGTGTAAAATACACGGTGTAGACTGGAGTCCCCACCATGAATACCAACTGGTTACATCAAGTCACGATGGAAGCATAAAGTACTTTGATATTAACAATGCTAGAAGGCCAGAAAATGTTATAATGACTAATTTTCCAGTATGGAGGGCTATATATACTCCTTTTGGTAGCGGGCTTTTAACTATCGGTGTTGGTTGGGGTGGATTGCCACGAGTGGAACAGGCAGGTGTAATAGGCATTTGGATTGATGGAACATTGACCCATAGATTAGCAGGCCATACGGATACAGTTCAAACAATGGTGTGGAGGCCTAACACTTTACCATCAAATTATCAACTTGTAACTTGGGGGAGAGATCAAACACTTAGAATTTGGACAATGCATCCGTCCTTGTTAAAAATGTGTTCACATTTTTTGCCTGATGACATAGACAGTGATTATGATAATATAAGTGATGGTAAGTTATGAGCTCAAATATGTATTTATAATTTCTTTATGTGTCTTATAAAAGACAATATTTTTTCAGCCAGTTATGCATCAACTATTAATTCAGTGAATGATAAGAAATGTCGAGATATTGAAATGGTAAGATAATTAGTTATTACTTTGATGACCTATTCAGTTGTATATATTAAAA